CTTATGTGCTGGCACAGAAACTTGCAAATTCCTGCAAATTTGCGTTCGGGCAGAAATTCGAAAATTCCCTATCTGAGAGAGAATTTTGGAGCATTTTTTCTTACTATCTGATATTTTGAGTGATAATTCTCGCTAAACGAACAAACCTATTGTCTTCCCAGAGAGTTTTCTTTGCATATAAATTTGTGCTCTTTTATTTTCATTTGGACACATTTCAGTGTTGGTTCTTTAAATTCAAGTTGGCCTTCGGTTTTTGGAATTTAAATAAGTTCTCAGTGAAACAAGTTGGCACTATATCCAAACACAAACGACTTGAATTTAAGACTTTAAAAATCAGGGTGAAAATTGTTCCCAATTGAATGATTCTTGCCATTTTATATGTATAATAATAATAATAATAGATTGGCGCTTACACATATGTTAGTGTTTGGCCGAGCTTCTCCTCCGACTTGTGGCGTGCGCCTTGATATTGTCACACAAGGCGAAGGGACCTACAGTTTTACGCCGACTCCGAACGGCGATTGTATTTTATGAGAAGCTGTTTTTTTTATATGTATATATAAAATATTCAATACCTTATAATAAGTGTATAAAATTCCAATACCTTATAATGAGTGGTTCCAGAGATAGGCGATATGAGAATTTCAGTGGGTATAGGTGGTGCCACATCCGCTTTTCCAAAATCTACCGCTTTTCACCATAAGTACGGTATTGATAAGATATGTAGTCATAGATATGTGTAAATTTCGGGACATTAGCATAAGCGGTTCCAGAGATAAGTGATATAAGAATTTTAGTGGTGCCCTGTTTTTGCCATAAGTGCGGTATTTATAAGAGGTTTCAAATTTTGGGACGTTAGCATAAACAGTTCCACAGATAAACGGTATGCGAATTTCAGTTGGTATGGGCGATGTCACGCCCCCTTTCCCAAAACCTAAAAATTTTCGTCATGAGATATCGCTTTTCACATTTTAGTCTGTATGTCAGATGCGACGCCCCCTATGTAACGGGATTAACATTTCTGGATTAAAGGAAGTTATATCCTTTAAATCGGTGTATGTTTCATTGAAATCGAGCGAAAAAGGGAGTTAAAAAATTTCTTGTGGCGTATTTATATATACGTATATAGTTTACAGTAAACTAGGAGAAATTTACATTTTATAGAAATACAATTTTAAAGCATCGGGGAAACAAATTGTACTAGATCTCATCTGAATCGTTTAGTGCTAATCTTAGACTGACAAAGTGAAGATTTTCTACTTATGTTTATTAACTAGTCACAGACTGACAACGTTTCAGCCTCCAGCCATTGTAAGAATGCAACATTTAGTATTAGGAAATGCATTGCAGATATGTATTAATATTTGTTAATGCACATATACAGACTTACATGTTTGGTCGAAATTACATCCATGTCACAATCGCCTTCTTGTGACACTAGTTGGTCAAATACCCACAGGAACAATATTGACTTTACATTTCAATTGCTAATAAATATGTCAATCAATTAAGGCCGCTGGAGTGTTGTAGTTGGTACAAAGTAATTTGTTATGCAAGGAGAGAACGAAGGTAATAGGGTCAATTGAATATGCACAATTGTACATATGTGTGTAGTTAGTTTAACTCAGATTATACTTGACTGCTTTCCTCAATCTACATACACTGCCGGAACAAAGTATTGGCACAGCAAATTTTTCAAAATAAATGCTACAATTTTTATCTAATATTTTTCCGCCAATTTTGTATAAAAATGTGGTTCATTCAACAACAAAAAACATAAAAACATAATTCATAAACTTTGTACAAAACTCGCGAAAACTGAGCAAAATTTCATCAAAAGTTTCAACTTTTTAATCAGATTTTTTAGAATTTCTGTGATTATGAGTCAAACCACGCCAACTGTATCAATGAATTTTCATTGATTTTCTGGAAAGTGAAGACAATTGTGGGAATCTGTAGATAATTATAGAACAAAAATACACTTTGGACGGTTTTTCGAAATTGCACTTTGTTTTTGTTTTTTTTTTTGTGGTATTATAAGAATATTGCAATTTTTGAGAGAAAAATTCATAACCCGCGGCCCATTTGATGAAATTCGATGAAATTTTTTTTGAGAGTTGCTGAAGCTTTTCCCTTTACAATAGAAAGATTTGCAGAATAAAATTTGCAAAACAATTAATTCTTTAATAACAATAATTTAAACAATTGCAATTATTTATATCTTCTAGGCCTGCGATTGCAGTGAAATTTTGGCACAATATACTCTAAACTCTTGTTTTTGAGTTCCAAAAAGAAAAAAATGGTCTTCCCAATTTTGACAGTCGCTATCGATTATTTTCTCATTTTGAGTTAATACCGCAGATTTCGTATTTCTGTAAACTACCGTTTGCCCATTCTCCATACCATCCGCCCGTTTCGTGAAAATATCTCAATTTTTACTCGAGTTATCGTGTGCATAGACGGACAAACAATCATAGTTTATGTATAGATATATTAGTTTATATCTTTTTCAATTCTTGTAGACTGTTACACACAACCGTTATGTGAACAAAGTTATACCTAGTACCCTTGTGTCCAAGTGCGCTCGGGTATAAAAAGTGTTTTAAAAAATCTCGAATTCTAGACCACCTAGCGGATTAATGCTTTTTTATGTTGCATTATAATCGGTTTAAATTTTCAAGTCTGTAACTCATCGGGAAGTGGACACAACTTTTCATCTTTATTCGACATCGTCGACCATTCTACGCCCTATAAAATTTCGGGCACGATGAGAAATCTGTTCATAGAACATATTTTTGTTCGACGAGAAAACGCTCTGCTTTTGACAAGAGCTATGTTTAGATTGATCTCCATGCACGCATTATTCATGGTGTTAATGCTGCAACCCAAGTGGAATAAGTCTATCGCGTGTCCAAATTGTAACGGACAACGAGGGCGTGTGTCCTAATACGAAAATACTTTTTTGTGTTTTAGATGTATTTCGTCTTCGTCCACTTCTGCCGCTGCGGTTCAGATGAACACTACTTATCACGCTTCCCAGCATCAATTTTCGGAAGACGCACGAGAGTGAGTTGCCTTCCTAAATATTATATCTCGTTTCATCTCAAATGGCACGGCAACGTCTTCTCAGTGGAGACGGACGTCAATATATGTATATATATATCAGTAATAGGTTTGCGACGATCCCAAAATTAAACATTTCGTCTGGTTAATAGTGAGTTTTTTTAGATAATAAGCTCCAGGGAATTCGTTCATGAAAGACTTCAGGCCTTCACAAAGAATTGTTAATTACCTACTATGCAATACTAAGAAATAGAATAAAACAATAATACTTTTAATATAATTTCGGGAAACAGTGCGATCTTTCTTCTCGTGGATTGGAAAGTACACGATTGCAATCTTCGGTTATGTTCTTATGAGACTAAACTCTGATGTATACCGTCCATATCTCCAATGAATTCCGAACATTTGCTCCCGAACTGCCATCTTTGCTTTTGCAGGAATTATCCACAGTCTTGAAACCGTTTGATTACAGCCTACTTTTTTTTATAGAATTTTAAACTCTTCGCACTCATGTTTTTTTTTCTCTTGAAAATAGGTCCCTCTTCCCTTCTTTTCTTGTGCCTGCGGGTGGACAGCGGCGTGGCATACCAGTTATTTTTGCCTTTCAGGAACGCTTTAATCACAAAATGATAAATTGAGTTCTGTGTTCTTCGATCAAATACTACTATAATATAATAATACTAAATACTAACTACCATGTTCCGTACCGCGGCAAAGCAGTTCCTATATCTTAAACTTTTAAATTCCTATTAAAAACACATTTTATTATTATTTGAAAAAAAAAATACTGTATCATTAACTACTGCAGTGATGTAAGCCTTGTATTTTGTGCGGACATCCTTCGGTTGGACAGAGGTGAACAGACACTGCCAGCTTCAGTGAGGCCTTAAATCAAATAAGTCGCAGTTTATTCGTGTAATTCCATCTGCACTCTCTTCATTCTTCGCTTCTGAGTAAATAAAGCCATAAAAATTTCACAATTTCATATTAATACGGATAACTTTTTACTGCCCTTGCAATCCGGTTAACTAAGAACTCTGCTTAATTGGCACGAAAACCCTGGCACGTTTTGATTTTAGATTTTACAAAACACATTCCATCGGTTATTTAAGACTTTGACTAAATGAAAATATCGGCTTAATGAAACAACATTTATATCCCTAGTTCAGATCGGTTTAAATGCAACTGTTTGTTCAACTTAAATTATAACAACCCGCTTCAAGCAAACTGCTGTTTAGGCTGTATAAAAAATAGTATTTCTGAAATCCTTCTAGAGTAGAAGCTTGACCCTGCATGCATATGTTTTAATAATAAAGAAATTCTAATATAATTACCATCTACAGTGTATTGAATTCTTTGCTTCAACAAAATCACCTTGAATAAACCAGCATGATAAGCAAATAACGTTCAATATTTCATTAATAAAATTTACAGTTGCTCATACTTCACACACTCAACGACTCTCTGAGAACTCAAGTTCTTCACACTTTCATACACATTAAAGAAAATTCGAGAGTGCACATGCTTGCACTATCTTTCTTGCCACTTGAGGGCTTCAAGCTGTTGCCACTATACCTATACAGTCAGCATTACACCTTACACGTGCAAACACACATTACTCACTTGTTATAAGCCAGCCAACAACCAGCTACATACATACACCCACCACTTTAGCCAAGAACTGAAAGAAGGTTCAAAAACCCCAACGTTCGAACAAAACACAACTAAAATTCAAGGCAGAAAATAAGCGCTTCAAACATGTTCGCATTTTGCGGTATGAAGCCAACATGTCGACAGCGCCAAATGGGAGGGAGCCAATGTGCCACCGGCTCCAAAACTCTTATACGCAACTTGGACATGCTGCGACAATTGATGTGGAGCGCATGTATAAAACGCAAAGCAACGCAACGAATCAGTTCATTTGGCGTTCATTTCGTGTGTGTGCGTGACGCGTAATCGGTGACCACGTAGCGGTGACAAGGCGGTGCTAGTCAGCGGCAGTTTTAGGGGAAACGGTTTATTTTCATAAATATCAGTCAACATAAGCAGATGCACACCGACGCGCCACATCAGTTGCTACGAATCCGTTCAAACGAGTTGTCGGCGTTTCTCGCAGGTGAGCGGTCTCCCATGCGCACGCTTTTGGTGGATTACGCGACGCGTTTCGACGACTTTGATGACTTCTCATAACTAAATTTGGCATCGACGTTAGTGCAAAGGCTAAGTTGGCCAAGTAATTGTTGCAAAAAAAAAAACCAAAAATAATATTTAGCTCACGGTCAAGTGGCGAATGATTGTGTTGAATCGCATTCAACGGATTTAAGTTAGTTTTGACATTTGCCAAAAGTGTTTGATTGTGATTGTGTGCACATGGTGTACTGTGGATATACAAATATATTCAATACATAAATAATTGTAATAAAATAGAATAAATATTTGCTGAAAGTCTTAACAAAACTCAAAACCTTCGCATCAAAAATTAATTTATTTTCTTCCAAAAATTTCGTCATAAATTTTAATTGCTCTTATCTAATCATATCAGTGCGTTTGGGCTAACATTTGTCAGAAAGTGTGTCAATAAATATGTACGTACATATTTAGAAATGCTGACAGATATACCTACATGCAAACGTATTAAATGCAACACAGCTAAAAGTGAATCGCGCAGTTATCAGTAGCGGCCAAAATTTGTCTGTGTATTAGTGAAAGAGTGCTCCGGGGCGTATGAGTGTAGAAATTCTTGCTTATTTGAAAATCAAACATATACTTATATGTACATGGTGTTTTTACTATAGCATTCATAAGTATATCCATAAGTATTTTGAGAAAAAAATCGCATAGAAATTTAACAAATAAATTGAAAATATTGTGAACCCAATAAATATGTCAACTGCAGCCTAGACCAAAAATTCCCTATCTTCAGGTATGAATGCCATTTAAAATGGTTATGTGTAATAAATAGGTGTATGTGAATTCGTTTTCAATTTGCTATGAACAAGACATCTGAATTCGATGTTATCGATTGTCATAAAGCACTTGCACATTCGTCGTACTTGTAAAATTCTAGATAAGTGAACACCTCTTATGTACATACATATGTATATAGCTTCCGGCAACATTAAAAAGCAATTAAAAGATACCGTTCCAGTAAATTTCTAGTGAAATTAACTTTACATTATAAATGCTTTTATTTACTCAAAGTGTAATTTAGTGCAAACAAAATATGTACAATGAAACACGAACAACTACAGCCACAGTAACAGAAAATACTAATATTTCCAATCCAACACAAATTGTCTTTCCACCCATCTACGCATTTTTGAAATTCCAACGCGCCTTTATGCTTACATTGACCGCCCTTGTCCATAAAAAATTAGTATTTTTATTGGAACCTCGTTAAGGTAATTTGCCCTAAACTTTGTTTAGTTTTGTGCTAGACCCCGAAGCCGGTTTTGGATTGATATATATTAAAATGAGGTATGCACAACAACTTAATGATCTATTGTGCCCTCTCCTCATCACAATACTTACTCTAGGCCTACATCCCTCAAAAACAGCAGCATCGCGTTCGACGGTAGGGAGTGAATTTGCTCAATCTGTGACCACATCGAGCCTAGATTTCCTTCGCATCAGTGGCGCATCATACTCGATAAGAATATGTTGTGGTGCACAGCCGGCATATATCATTTGTTCATATTCCCTGCTGTTAGAAATTCCGTCTTAGTCTTCTATGCCCTGCAAAGATAACTGTTAGAATTATTGGTTTCTCCTTTGGAAGGTTAATCAAGTTTTGTGATCTCTTATTGTTGTACCCTCCCAGTAGACTATTTGCTTGCCGTAGTGCTGCTGAGCCCCGACAGTTTAGATCCCTTAGGCCGTTCGTCTTCTTTCTGAGCTCTTCCTTAAGAGTATTAGTACTTACTCCCAGGAACGGCTCGGGTCCAATTTTAGTGATGTCTGCCGTCTCTCTTACGAGGCAGTCCGCCGTTTTATTAAACCCTTTTCCCCCATGGCCGGGTGCCCATTCTAAAAGGATGTTGTTTCCCCTGCCTTTGGAGTTAAGTTTCTCAATACACTAATGACTAGTGATGATCAAATTTTTAATATGATAAGAGAGCCTTAGGCGATACCTGGCTATCGCTTAAAATTATGATCCTCTCGTTTCGGTACCCTCTATATGTCCGGAAACATAAAGACGGCGAAAACCTTTCTACGTAAGATCTATGGCACTGACAATGTAATAATAATAATATTTTGGCGCTTACACTTTTGCTAAGTGTTGAGCCAAGCTTTTCCTGACATAGTTAGGCGTGTAAAAATACAATGGTACTCTGGCTTGGACAAGTCGTACGTATGAATGCTGTTTCTCCGGTGAAAAGAGCCTTCGAAAGCAAAGACGTCCGTGGGCACAATGGAAGGACCAACTACACAAAGACCAGTGTGAACCCGGGATGAAAAACTGGCGCAACTTCGCGAAGGGGAAAGGCATTTAACGAACTTCTTTGGTCTCGGCCCAAATCCAAAAAGTGGTTGTAGTGCCAAATAAGAAGAAGAATATTCCAAACCGAGGTACGTGCAAGGTCATGGACTTCGTGGTGGAAAATAGGTCGAGGACAGAAGCTTATGTGTCTTTAGCAATGGTCAATCTACATTCAAGGTGTTTTCCAGGCCTCTTCGAGTACTTCGGCAATGCAACTCTCCACTAAGTTACGATGAAAACGTCCACGTGCGTGGTACTCGAGAGTACCTGTTAATGAAATATCTGACCATTTAGCTAGCTACCGTCAGAAACTTGGTGAATTTTTCGGTCAACAAGATTAATGTTTCCTTCAATCTCTGAAGGTCCCTCTAGACATTAGCATAAATTTATCATGAGTGTAATCGTCACGATCCTGAACGAGGAACAAATCTGAACGTGTTGCTTGTCTCGTATTTCCATATGATGACAATCGTAACATAAAATAATTTCTCTAGAATAAAGGACACATACATTAAAGGGAGGGTATTATAATTCTTTTCACAACTTTTGCTTTCATTCTTGTAGTTTTCTAAAAAAAATCCACTTTAGTAACCACTGCAGCTGGAAAATAAAATTCAATTACTGTGAGCTCAAAATCTACCGTGACTTGAATTAAAATACTTTTGTTTTCATATGTCAAAGTCACAATTTATTCAGACGACTGACGGGTTGCGTAGTTTGGGATCGATTGTCTACTCCTTCACGAACGTTACGGTTCGAGCCCGGGCAACTTTTGGCTTTGCTGAGTCGTTACTTTTCGTGGCTTAAAAAACTGACTATCATCGGCATAAAAGACAATCCCATTTTACCTTCCTCCTTGAAGAGGATGAGACCACGCCTTTGAGGCTTTTGGTAGCGATGTATTGAGCGAAAAACTAATGAGCTTTTCAAAGTTAGTGTAGACTTAAAACAATTATTTAAAAGGAATATGAAAACGCTACAATGGATGGTAATTCGTGATTATGAAAAACAATATCATATTTGGGTATAAAATCCTACTTTCAAGGAATTTGAGGACTTTCTACGATTTTTGCATACATTTTTATAAAAAAAATTATATTCACAAATCATCGCGAAATTTCTATTGTTGCCATCGTCGAAAATTCCATAACCGACGAGTAAAAACTGCTTTACGACTGAGTTTAATTGTAAACATCCGGTTAGATCAGCATAAGTCGCCGTGATTCCACGTCATCATAGGTCATAAAAGCATAAGGTGATAATATCCTTCCTAAAGTAGATTCCAATCAATTGTTTAACTTTAGGTGCTCCTGAAATCGGGCCGGTAGAACCAAATTAAAAAAGGTCTAGTCCTTTTCTACTCTAAGACCTCCACACAGAATTAACTGAACTAACTAAACGTCCCTGCATTTTTTGTGTGGACTGGAACCAACATGGCCCTCATAGGGGTCGGAAGAGGGGTCAGGCATTCCTTGACTACTTTTCAGCGTATCATCAAAGGGCTTTGATTGCTATTTAGCATTCAGAGTTTATTATTTTCCTTGTTGAATTGGTGTTAAATTTGTAACCATCCAATCCGCTGTTTCTGTTCTATCTTTCTCCCCATTTCACTTTAATTTTAATTGAAATACTATGTTACGCCTAACCCTCCCCAGGAATATGGATGTAATGGTATAATACTATGCCATGAATATGAGCATGTGTACATTAAAAATGCGTAAAAAACTTTACAACTGAAAACAAAATGCCAAATAAGTTCTCTGAATTAATTTCGAGGAGGCATCAGTCGAATACTATAGAGGTACAAGATTTTGGCACGCTTTGGATAGGGTCTAATCTCTATAATTAATAATATTTTGGCGCTAAGACTTTCGCTAAGTATTTGGCTGATCATCTCCTCCAATGTGTGTGTGGAGAGAACTACAATTATACGCCGCATCCAAATGGCAAATGGATTTTATGAGAAACTTTTTCACGGCAGAAATACACTTGTAGACATGCTATTGTCTGCCGGGTGGTGACCGCTGTTAGAAAAAACATTTTCTAATTTAGATGTTGTCAGGAACAAAGATCGAAGCGTTGACGGAGTGGTAGTACGCACATCTAACCGCTGAGCTACAGCGGCCGTCTATGATAGGTATTAGGAGACAGGCAGGTACTAATTCCTCTCTAGGTTTAGTCAGTATCATTTATAAACGGGTAGGTTCTACCCCTACGCCTTTACACTACTAATAGTTATGTTTGATAGGACGGAGCAAAAGTGCATATTTGTCGAAAGGAAAATCTTAAAATTTTCGATTCTTACGAAAACATAAACATGGCACATTGGTTTTGTTTCGCATCTGAGCAGGATTGGTTGAAAATTTTTTAGTAGATAACACGAACTAGAGCAGATTTAAGTCGACTCATTGTTAATGCAAAGCTGCTGTATCGGTATTATATGTATTGAAATTTTGTTTGCCTTTTTATTCACTACAAAAAGTAGGTCTTTCACTTGTTAACTTTAAGTGATACGTATGGATGTACTCAATTTATTGCTGGTCCTAAATATTATGTTTTTGCAGTCTCTTAAATTTTTTAATTGTATCAATATACATGTAGTCAATATGTGTTTGTTTATTATTTGTAACAAACCATCCAGTAAAGCAAAAACAGCTATCAATATGTATGTATGTATGTGTGTATTCACACATTTTTTTTTATGTAGAGCCGATATTGACAAAAAAGTGATTTCAGGCGGGAACTGTTTGCAATATGTGTCGAATTTTATAGCTATTTCATTTTCAACACAATAAATTATTACATAACATTTGGCCGGGTTTACAAATGCAAATATGTATTTTTATGTGTCAGGAAGTCTTGCCAGATTATTTTTCCAAAAACTATAAATTTCCTTAGAAAACATTGCATTCTCGACCAAAAAACTGTAATCTCCAAAAACGAAGAGGTTTTAAAAAGTTTTTTTATTGTACTAAACGTAAGTAACAAAAAAAAGATTTATTTCCATGAAATAAAATAATATAAAACGTTTAAATTGTATATTTAGTTTTATTATATTTCATAGGTTACTTTGTTAATTTTCTTGAGCATTTGATTCGTTACCTCATATTTAGTACCTGAAGTAGGTTTTTAAGAAATCTATGTATTGTTCTTCAAATACCAAAGAGTGCTGGAATTTCTGGTTAATTTTTTGTTTTATTCAAATTGGTTAGGGAAAAAATTTTTTCCACATTTGCTGTGGCGACTGGAATACAAAGGACAGCTGAAACCATTTGTTTCAAATCAGGAAACTCCGCTCCTTCATCAGTCCCCTTTAACCTTAAAAATTGATTTACAAAAAAACTGAAAGAGAAATTTTAATTTATTCGTTCAAATCGCCTATTTCAAAAAAAAGGCTATAGTTTTTACTAGGAGGTAGTTTAAACAACTATGAGCTTGTTTTGAAAACTATAATCTGCAGTTAAAACTGTGAATCTGGCAACATTTGCTATTATTCTTTCCAATATTAAATTTTCTGATACGCAGAATTTTTTTATTACAAGTAAATTTTATGCATCACATTTGAGAGAGTTTATGCTGAACATATTTGGAATATGTAAATAATTTTCAACTGCAACAATGATTGTACAGGAGAATACAATTTATTGACTTTTACTAAAATTCTTTATCTTATGTACATTCCATTTTTAAAAATTTAGCTGTTTTATTAGCACACCTTTGTGACTTTACACGGAATTGTACAATTGTCTACCCATATACGTATGTAAATAAGTAAAAATAGTCCTTGTTTGCTTGGTTGTTCATCTGTTTAATTATCTGGTCGAGACTGAAAGTTTTGGCTGCTTTTTTTTGGTTGTTTGTGTTTCCGATAGGGTAGGTATATGATGTTTTTTGAACAATTTTTTGCCATTCCTATTAAAATTTGGTTTGGAGACAAACCGATTTCGGTGTTTTGCCATCTTTTTGCGCTTTGCAAAGAAACTTGAAAATACTAATTGTGGATATTGATCGCCATATTTTATTCATAAAAACACAACAAAAATAAAGTTGAAAATTAAGCTCTTTTGCAAATATCTAGCATGTTTTTAAATATAAATATAATAAAAAAAATATAATATAAATCAATGGTTTTTAAGTACCGCGAGACTAGGAAGGAATGTAAGACTGTATTTTCTGAACTCTATGAATTGTGGAATCACCACCATGTTGAAACCAAGGGGGAACGACTATTTTCGGGTTTCAATCAAACTATGTATGTTAGCCTAAACTTTGTTATTCTCTTTTTGATAAAAAAAAATATAATTTTTCGTGTAAAATTCTACTTACTCTTAATACTCATAATACGCAGAAGATGTTCTGTTTTAGAGGTCCTTTATACGGTAGTTGCTTTTATTCCGATATATTGAATATAGCATATATAATACTTCATAAATCAAAATCAGGTTTTAATCTTCTATTCTTTCTTTCCTTACAGCCATTAATACATTATACACAAAACGAAGACTCCAATGATGAAAATCTGAACATTGAAAATTTTGGTGATGCACTTTATAGGCACTGTTCCAACAATAACAACACCCACATCCATCATTTAAGCATCTAGTACTTGCGGCAGCAAGACCACTGTCATTCATTTCGGTGATAGTCACTGCGGAAGCGGTGACACAAACTACAACAGCATCAACAATATCCATAATAACAACAACAAAAAAACTACAACTCTAACAATAGTAACGCTGCCAATACAAAATTCCAACAGATAAAACAACAAAAAAAAACGTCACAGATTACATCAACAGCAGCCGTATCAACAACAGCAGCAATTGCGGTAATACGAGTTTTTACCAAGCTACAGGCAACACAAGCCAATAACAAGAACAATAACAACAGCGCTAACAAAGCCAGTTATATTAGGTTTTGCAGTAACAGTAACAGCAGAAAAATGCGCCGCAATGTAAAATTCATTGTTTTTGTTAGCATCATTTGGATATTCGTCATGGTCTACTACTTCCAGTCCAGCACGGAAAAGGTGAGTCGAGCGAGAAAACAACGATAACGTACATATATCATTTGCATTCTATCGTAAATTAAATTTGTGCACATGGGCAAATGTCCGGAACCGTGTGCTTTTGTGACACTCGCTTTTTATAGAAAAACTTGGGCCATTACATGATAACAAATGCGACAAGTTCTTGTAACTTATTTAGTTTTTTTTTTTTTTTTTACCCTAGAATGGTAAACATAGTCTGTGAGGCACAACAATTTTTTGATTTTGCGATATTTCCAGATCGGTCTCTCATATCAAAGCGTGGGTTCGTGCCAACTCAGTTAAGTGTTCTCTAAGCTTGGGTGCAGTACGTGTTCTGTTCAGTTCCATTATGCTGCCGAAATATTCATATATGTGTCGCCTATGAGGCGATGTTTACGAATAAAGGTATTTTTTTGTATAGGAAACTTTTTAAAATAAAAATCTTTTCTAAGCCATAGGCATGATATTCTTTCTTAATATGTTAATTTGATCTAAAATCTATAGGCTAAAGAAATTTTACGAAAATATCTCGAACGGAAATATTTCTTTTTTATTTGTTTTCAAACGGTATCTGTATACCACCCATTAAAATATGTGATCTACTAATATGACTGTAACAAATTTCAGATTCCAAAAAAAATATTAAATGTTTTTATTAATTTTTGTTACAAAAGATATTGTAAATACATATTTTCTTTTGTTTGAATACATTTTTTTTTACAAAGGTGAAATGTTCCTTGTTTATAAAGGTATTAAAGGGCTACAAAATATGTTTACCATTCTAGGGTTAATAATGCCATTTTAATTTGTATAAACAATCAAAGTCATTAAAATAACAATTTTGACGTGGCACTTTGGGTACCTTTTGTACTTTTTTTTGAGTATAACGTTTTCAGCGCAAAACGGAGACATTCGAAAATCATGGCAAATAATAATGGTAAAATTGGAAAATGCATTAGGCGTTGAGAAAAATATGTTTTCCTCATAGGAAAAGTTCTTTTCCATTTTGCACTTTCAGCAGTTCTTATTTGTTGATATATGTACATATGTATGTAGATATTAATTACATATTATAGAATAAAATAAGACCTTTTGCAGTTATGTGCCTTTGAAAATATTGAAAATAAAACAAATATTGCCTGAATAAGTCTTTGCGTGAATGGCTTAAAATGTCATCTTTTTTTGATGGAACACTGACAGACTAAAATATAACAGGTTGGCATCAAGCGTGTCGTTAGGTAACATTCTGCATAAAATTCGTTGCAAATGCTAGGTACATAAAATAATTTTAGTCCAAAAAAACGGCCATGAATTTATGTGTGTATATGTGAAGGATTTTCAGATCTTAGGGCAATACGACTCAGAAATTTTGTAATATTTGCTCAAAAATGATATTTACAATGGATATTAATAAAAAACTAGTTTTTCGTAGAATTTTTTGGAAACTGGGCGAGGTCCGGCCACTTATGTCGATTACTTGTATCTCGACAGCCACTTCACCAATCTGTACCAAATTTGATATACACATTGTCTGACCTTCTTAAACACCGTCTTGAAAATTTTTGGAATCGGACAAAAGCTACGTCCTCCAGAAGTATCGCTAACTTTGAGTTTTCGAAAATTATAGTTTTTTATTTATAACTCTTTACGCGTTTGAGAAAAATGAATCACTCAAGAATTTGTTGTTTATGTTTTTTTAGCGTTGAACCCCACAGTTCCGGAGATTTGCCAATATGTACATTTCTGTCGTCATATAGGTATGTGGATGTGTCATAGCTTTTACATCCATTCTAACGTATAAAGGGACAGATTGGACTTGTTTGGTGGCGTCAATTTGCATTTGTGGCTGCATTGGTGCTCATTCTTCATTAAGCAAACATTTTTTCTTCGCTACCATCCGTAGTAGGGATGTTGCGAATGTGGGGTTTTAGACATCCGCGGATGCGAATGCGGATGTCAAGTATTTTTAAGAAATAATTTAGGTGAGTACATTAGGTGATTTAGGTAAAAAAAAGGAAAAGCTAGTAATTTTTAATGTTTTTGATTTAATACTTGAATTTAAAAATTGGAATACTGTGTTTAATAAAGAGTACTTTTGCTGCCTTTTCGGGTTACAGCCTGTTTCTTGAAGGGTCGTAAATCAAACCTGCGCCATTAAATATGTAACTACTCGATCGAGGCGACAAACTTGAAACTTGACAAAATTGTAAATTCTTTTCGCTGCACCAGTTGAGAGGACCTTAAATTATATTTCTTTTTTTATTGCATCGGGACTGCAAATATCGGATACATACTCCTGACTTTCATCTTCACAAACTAGCATCATGGCAAGAACGTTATTTAAACACCGTTGTTTTCCAATTTGCACTGTTGGAATCACGAACGATGAAGGTCTCAGATCTTCTTAGTTTCCGGGTGACTCCTTGGAAAGGTTCACCTACAATGAATAGCTTGTAATTAGTTTTTTTTTTATTAGCTGAGCTCGACTTTTCCTAGTCGCAGGCAGGGATGATAAATGAAGTTTTCGAAATTGTACCAAAAGTCAGAAAAAAATCTATCAAATCTAATAAAAATGTACCAACAAAAAATTTTAAACGCTTTCACAAAAACAATAAATGTTTAAAAGAAATATACATTTATTTAACGCCTTTTAAATAAATATCTTGTAAAAATATACATATATGGGTATTTTCATACGTCGCATACGTGACAGTCGTACGTTTCAATGTTCAATTTTTGATTTTCAGTGGTTACGGCTTTTTGTATTTCAGCGACGATGTGAGTTGTTGTTTTCGAGCTGAAAGACTAATGAAAGCAAACACGGAACTTAATCATAATAAGTTTTATGAGAAAAAAAATATTTGCATTTATCTAAGAAAAAGTAGCAAAAACTAGCGATGCATCCAGTCGATAGTTACATAATTCTTACCAAATTAAAGGTAGGGGGACGTAGAGGGACCTTTTTAACATAGCATCTCCTCAGGCAAAAAATGTTGGCTACAATTTGTAATTTTGTTCGCCCAATATACGTTTTATCAGTGCACTTGAACAATATTCGCATTCGCAAAGCTCCGCATTGATTATTGCGAAAGCGACTGCGAATGTTAAAATAAATGCGGAAGCACCGCGGTTGCGAATGCGAATGCGAATATTCGCAACAGCCCTGATCCGTAGTACCGTAAATGGGGAGAATATACCTATCAAACAGCGGATTAATTTGAATGCTTTGTCACGGTACCAAACAAGCAGAGCGTTGGCCAAAACAATGCCAAGAGAATAATCAAAGCGAAACCTTTTTTTATACCTTTCATGAGCATGAAATGGTATTATAACTTTGGTCCGATGTTTGTAAGTACCAGAACAAAAAGAGATAGACCCATCAAAATGTATACTTATATGATCAGAACGTCGAGCTGAGTTGATTTATCCATGTCCGTCTGTCCGTCTGTCCGTCTGTCCGTCTGTCNCCGAACTTAGACTTTCTTACTTGTTCCATTTGACGTCGGAATTTTTTTAAAAAGGACTTTGAAATTTCAAGGATGTTATTACAGTGAAACCGGATAACTAAAAATATTAAAATCAATTAGAAACGTAATTGATATTACGATAAACGACAACGAAAGTACTGTATTCAATTCAATTAATCGCATATTAAAATGACCGCGTTTGTTCTGAAAAAGCATCCGTGAAGTGAATANCAGCGCTGCTCTTACTTGTTTTTGTTTGTGTTTTATACGGCATTGTTATATGTATGTATGAGTACAATATAGATATTTTACGTACAAGTTTATTAAACCGGCTCAGTTTAGTTAAAATTATTTGTGTACGAATGGTAGGTATGCTTATTAGTTTGATTATTTTGCAAATCTTTTTTTTTATTCTTAAATTTATTACCTTTTACTTTGCACCAAGATTTTATTTTTCGATATTCCGAGTTTTTAAATGGTTGATTTCACCGTGCGATGAAAAATAAAAATTTCAAGCATTCGAAAAATCTATATTCTCACGAAACTAAGCGCCAAATATACTAGTACAACTAAGTTTTTAGTTTTTATACCCGAGCGCACTTGTGCACAAGGGTATATTAATTTTGTTCACATAACGGTTGTTTGTAACAGCCAAAACGAATCGAGATAGATATAGACAAATGTATACATAAATGATCAG